TCCTCCTCCTCCTCCCGCAGAGGCGTACCGGGAGCGGGCCCCGAGTCAAAATACCCCCCCCCCTAGGGCGCATTTTCCTCGAGCGGGCACGCCCGAGATGCACTTCTTCCTCTTCCGGGAGCACGTCCCAAGTCAGAATATCACACTCCCGGGCGCACTTTCTTCGAGCGGGCACACAAAGGATGCACTTCCTCCTCCTCCTCCTCCTCCTCGTCTCGCCACTCCTCCTCTTCTCCTCCTCCTCCTCCTCCTCCTCCTCTTCCTCCTCCTTCTCCTCCTCCTCCTCATCATCATCCTCCTCCTGCTCCTCCTCCTGCTCCTCCTCCTTCTCCTCCTCCTCCTCCTCCGCTTCCTCCCCCCACTCCTAGCCCTTTCGATCAGGGTCGGCGGCACCGGCCGTCAGGCCTCTCCAATATGCGAAAAGACGGCACTACGAAGACGGCACCCATGCACCGCACCACGGCTGGAGTCCGTTCATGCCCCGCTCCAACGCGGTACGGTGTGTAAGAGATTCGGCCCTGAGAGCCGAACAACCATGTACTGTACCATTCCTGGGTCGGGAATCGACGACACCCCAGGAGACGCCAACGCGGTACGATGCACACACACACACACACACGCACACACACACACACACATATACACACCGCGGAGACACGACCGAGTCCGCGGAGGGGGAGCGGGGAGGAAAGGTAGGTTCGGTGGCAACTCACGGGAACCTCCCATTCCAACTTGCTGGCCCCTGCGAATCAACGCTGGTCCACGCTGGTCGACGCTAATCCGACGCTGCTCGACGCTAGATCGTCGCTAAGTCGGCGCTTTCCCATTGACTACCAGACGCTGCAGTTAAAACTGGCAGTAAGGATGCGCCCCGCGATAAGGATGCAAGCCCCTTGGATGCCCATGTCGAAGCTTTTCTGGCGGGGCTGGCCATCGGAAGGGGTTCAGAATGGACCGGGGCGGCAAGAATGCAAGGGTACCATTGGGGAGTTTACCCATCCTTACTATCGATTTCGACTGGAATCGACGCCAGTGCGCTCTACAGCCGCAGTTACGAGAGCATATAAGGTCCCCGTGACTCGCCGCGGGGGCGGCTGGGGCGGCGCGGGCAACCACTCTAAGGCGTTTCAAGACGGCGCCGGCGCTGATCGTGACGGGACTGGCCCCCTCCCCCCCCTGCGACCACGCCTGTTACATCCAGGGGATATGATTACCCGAAACGTACCCAAACACTTCTGCACGCGATGCGACTACTTGTATGAACGCCCAATACACAAGAACACATTGTGGGGACGATCTGCTCCACCGTCCGCTGGACCTCCCAGGAGCTTGCGAAGGTGGCGACAGTGGCGCAATTGGCAGCCTCCCAGGCGGCCGCGAGGTCTCGCCTGCCCACCACACGGCTGCACACTTCGCAGCCCACCAAGGAGCCGCGAGGTCTCGGCTGGGTCTGCGTGGGCCACACTCCGCCGTGCCTCCCAGGTGCCCAGGAACATGGTGACGGTTTCGCACTCCGCAGCCCCCCAGGGAGCAGCGAGGTCTCCGCCCACCAAGGAGCCGCGAAGTCTCGGCGAGGTGTGCGTGACACCCCACTCCGCCCTGCCGCCCAGGAGCCCACGCAAATGGCGACGGCTGCACACTTCGCAGCCCATCGGCGAGGTGTGCGTCACACACACACACACACACACACACACACACACACACACACACACACACACACACACACACACACACACACACACACACACTCACGCGCACGCACGCACGCACGCACGCACGCACGCACGCACGCACGCACACAACACACACACACCACACACACACACACACACACACAACACACACACACACACACACACACACACACACACACACACACACACACACACACACACACACACACACACACACACACACACACACACACAAACCACACACAAACCACACACAAACCACACACAAACCACACACAAACACACACACATGGACCTCCCAGGAGCATACGAAAGTTGCGACAGTTGCGCAGTTCGCAGCCCCGCAAGTAAAGCGAGGAGGAGGAACAGGACGAGGAGGAGGAAGAGGAGGGGACGTGTGAGGAGACGAGAGAGCAAGAGGAGGACACGCGAGGAGGAAGAGGAGGAGGAGGAGGAGGAGGAGGAAGAGAAGAGGAGGCGGGACGTTCGCGAGAGCAGAGCTCCATCCCAAACGGGAAGCCAACACGGGGCGGATGGAGACAGGAGGGCCGTGGCCCCCCGGGGGAGCCGCGAGGTCTGATCCGGGTCCGCGTGGGTTCCCGCTCCGCCGTGCCTCCCAGGAGCCCACGAGAGGTGGCGGCAAGTGCGCGCCTACCGCCGCCTGCGAAACGCCTTCTCGCCAACGAAAAGTGCAGTGAAGACCCACCCCGAAGACCGTGTCTCAATGTTGGTCGACGACCGCGCCGGAGGGGAGTGAGAGGTGTTGCGAAATACACACCCACTTTTGCGAGGAGCCGCTGCTTGCCCATCACCTTGAAATATGGGACGAGTGGGGGGCGCGCGTTCACGCATTGTTATCTAGACTTGAGACGGGCGCTTCTTTCGTGGCCCACGGTAGGAGCCCACGAAAGCGGCGACGGTTTCACACTTCGCAGCCCCCCAGGGAGCCGCGAGGAGGAGGAGGAGGAGGAGGAGGAGGAGGAGGAAGGACGGAGACCACAGTGGTTCATTCAGTACGAGATCCCGACACAGGAGGGTTCGGGGAAGAGGTCTCCAAGAGGGCTGAGGGGACGGAGAACAACTCGGGTTCCATGGCTGCTCCTTGCGACCCTCCGCGGCTGTGCCTCTGGCGCTCCTCGTGCACCCGGGGGCGCTCTTCTGGGGACGGGCTTTTCCGGCATCCGCTCGGGGGAACGTGAACGGACAGGTGTCGGCGCCGAGCGAGGTGGGGGAAACGAGAAGGACAAGGCCTTCTCAGAAGGCGGCGGGACTTCTCAGATGCCCTCGCGCCGTCTGAGAAGTTGTTTCTGTGTTCGGGGAAGGCCTAAACGAGAACTTCTCAGAAGGCCGGGGGGCTTCCGAACCTTCTGAGAAGGCTCCTTCTCACTTCCCCCCCCCCTCGCTCGCCGCCGAAGGTAGGGCAGGGGCAGAGATGGGGTTGGAGGCAAATCGCCTGCTGGCGTGCTGCCCTTCCAGGGGCCTTTCTTCGTGGAGGGGCTTTGGGGTCATAAATCTCGTCGCTGGAGGCCGTTCGGGACGAGGCGGGCGCCTCCAGAACGCTCTCGTCAAGGCGCAGCTGCAGGAGAGTATCCCGAGGCTGGAAAAACGCCAAGAACCCACGCAAGCGCTCGAAAACCTCGAGCCTCGATTCCTCGTTGGCGTCGTGGACTGATGCCAAGATTTGCATCCTCCACCTCCTGATCCGTCCCTGCCGCGGCTTTGAGGACGGCGGCGGCGATGGCATGCCCCCCCGGAAAAAAATGCAGGATGCAGGATGCAGGAAGCGCTGCGGGGGGGGGACTCCCGCACCCGCCTGAAAGCGATTATAATAATTGCAGGAAGTAAGCGGAGGAGGAATCGGAGAAAAAGGATGATGATGATGATGAGGAGGAGGAGGAGGAGCAAGAGGATGATCTGATGATGATGATGATGATGATGATGATGATGATGATGATGATGATGATGATGATGATGATGATGATGATGGTGATGCTGATGCTGATGATGATGATGAGGAGGAGGAGGAGGACGAGGAGGAGGACGAGGAGGGGAGGAGGGAGGAGGAGTAGGAGGGGGACGAGGAGGGGAGGGGGGGAGGAGGAGGAGGAGGAGGAGTGAGGAGGAGGAGGAGGAGGAGGAGGAAGAGGAGGAGGCGGCGGAGGAGGAGGAGGAGGAGGAAGAGGAGGAGGAGGAGCAGGGGGACAAGGAGGGGGAGGGGGGGAGGAGGAGGAGTAGGGGGACGAGGACGAGGACGAGGAGGAGAGGGAGGAGGAGGGAGGAAGAGGTGGAGGAGGAGGAGGGAGGAGAAGAACAACAGGAGGTTAGGGACGAGGAGGGCGAGGAGGAGAACCTCAAAAGGCTTGGAGGGCGAAAGAGAATGGCCCGCAGCAAAGGGTCTTCAATGGGTGCCGAATGGCCCATCCATGGCTTATTCAAATGACCCGGCATGGTTGGCGTCCGCTGCGCGTGGACACACTGAGACGGGAAAGCGACGCTCGAGTGCAGTCCGCTGGCGGTAACCATCGCAGCGCCATTGTCGCTAGCACAAGCATCGCGGGATCCATGCGCTGCAAAACGAAAAGTTTGATTTCACATGTTGAGCAAACGCAACATGTGGATTCACATCTTGGAAAAGCGCAAAGTGTGAAATCACGTTTTGGGGGGTAAAAAACACAACAAGTCAGTTCACATGTTCCAGTTGTCGTATTCTTTTTCAATCGCAGGCCATCAATGTGAATTCACATGTTGAAAAAATGTAAACTGTGAATTCACAGTCTGGGGAAACGCAGAACTTGAATTTACATGCTGGAAGATCACACCGAACTTTCAATGCGCCCTGGGCGATGGCCCGCGACGTAGCAAGGCGGGCAGCGATGGCTGGGCGATACGTAACCGCCAACATACAGCGCCCGAGCGTCGCATTCCTGCCTCGAAACCCCAGAGCGTAGTGGATGCCAACCATACCAGAGCACTGGAATGGGCGCTGCATAAGACATAGATGGGCCATTCAGCACCAATTGGTTCTTCATCCTCCGAGAGTTGCTGCTCGTCGTCGTCGTCGTCGCCGCCGCCGCCGCCGCCGCCGCCGCCGCCGTCGTCGTCGTCGTCGTCGTCGTCGTCGTCGTCGTCGTCGTCGTCGTCGTCGTCGTCCTCCTCGTCGGCGTCGTCGTCGTCGTCGTCGTCGTCGTCGTCGTCGTCCTCGTCGTCGTCGTCGTCGTCGTCTGCCGGCGGCGGCGACGGCGCTGGGGCGCTCCTGCTCCCGCGCGGCCGAGGCCTGGTGCTGCACCAGGGCGGACCGCAGGGCCTCGAGCTCCTGCGGGGGGCGGGAGGGGGCGGCTCCGGCGGGCGCGGCGGCGGCTGCGTCTGCGACCATGGGGCTCCCTGCTCGGAGGCCTGGGAGGTGTCGGCCCAGAGATCCAACGCACTGAAAAAATCAAGACGGAGATGTTTGGCCTCTAGGGGCCCTCGCTGGGCCCCGGGACCGTCAAAAAACGACTCAGGATGAAAAAATGGTCCTGGGGAATGGGTCGAGATTTCCGGGGACCCCGCATTGAAAAAGAACGACATCGGATCCCTGGGGGGGGGCGAGCAAACATTGATTAGCGATCCATGGATTTGGCGCACGGTCGCAAAGTCCATGGATCGGGGGAGGTGCCCTCCCCAAAATGCGGCTGGTGCCGCCTCGCTCGGCGGCGGTAAAATCCGCGATTTCCCCGGGGAACGGGACCCGTCGCTAATCCACGCCCCCTTTATCCATGTTTGCGATCGCCTGAAGGTGGGCACCAACACCAAACTCTAGGATCATCCCCCCCCGATGGAAGCATCGGCCGAGGGGGGGAGTTCGGAGAGTTCCGCATGGGAACTCTGGCTCAACGTGTCGCCGCGGCGGCCGCGGAGACGCGCTATGCCCTGCAAGCGGATACCATGTCGCCCCGTCCGCTCCGCGGGGCGGAGGCTGGGAAAGGCTCGGGACGTTGCCGCTTTTGGGCACAGAAGTGGATTCGCGTCGCGCCGAAGCGTGGTGGGCCAAATCTGGCAGAGCGGTACGATATCTGACAAAATCCCGACCGTGCGTGCTCGACCATGGACCCCATGATGCCCACTGGCCTTGGGAGGTCTTCGGCGGCCTTCCGTCAATTGTCGGTTGTTGTCAAAGGTATTCGGCGGTTTCCAGCGCGACAGCTGAGTGGTTGCGTTCGACAGTGGGTCCGTTATCGAACACCTCAGAGGCGGGCGAATTCGGAGCACTCGGCAACGACAACCATGAGATCCTTGCGTCGCAACTTTCTTCGCACTGGGCGCTTGCGCCCGGATTCGGGCCCAGAAGGGCCTTCGCAAGTCGATCTGCCTCGAGAAGTGCCGCGGAAAGATGGGGCATAGAGCTCGTGTAGTGGTTTCCCACGGTGCTGCAACTGTTGTTCGCAGCGTAGGATCGCAAGGAATTCGGGGAACAACTAATAACAGACACATGAGCTTTCTGAGGTCCGCGCGGGTTTCTTGGATCGGCACTGGGTCCCCCTCCTTGGCGCGCGGAGCCCACTAAGGGTGTCCAGCGCCGATCCCAGAAGTCCGCGCAGACGGCCAAAGTTTGTGCTCATGACGCTTGCTTCCCCGAGAAGTGGCGAGAAATCATGGTGATGACACCTTCCAAGATCCGACAAATTACCAACATGTCCGCGACTGCCTAACTATGTCCTCCCCAGATGTGCCAAATGAGTCTTGGTCCAGCGCCGATCCAAGAACTCAGCGCGAACCTCCGAAAGTTCCTGCTTATGCCATTACAAATCGGACCTAGAACAGAAGAACGGCCGAAATGAAGAGCATTCGAGAGTATCCTCCCCGAACCGACCTCGATCTTATACGTCGGTCCGACTGCAAATCAACGCAAGTCCTTGCACATCCAAGTAAGTCTGGAGATCTGCCTGGGGATGTGGAGCCAATCGCGTGGCCACTCTGGCGCGAGCCGAGGGACAAGCATCGACTTCGTGGGCCGTCGAGAACGTCCGGCCGAGAAGCGGCCCCAGACCTCCGGCGTCATGGTTTTGTCATCACGTCGACCCCCGGAAGCCTCGACCCGTTCCCCCCGACCTGCTCTTCATCCCAGACCCTGCGCCGCTCTTTGACGACCCCGAGGCCCAGTGAGGGGCCCCCGGAAGCCGAGAATCAGGAACAACCTCCCGTCTGGATCTTTCTGTCCAGGCTCGGCGGGGGTCTGGGGCGCGCGGCGATCCGCGGTGGGCGCGCCGCGGCGGCGTCCTGGAGCGCCATCGGCGGCGGAACGCGCGGCGGCCGCGGAGGCGGCCCGCGCCCGGCCCCGGAGGCACGGCGGCGCAGGCCGCTACGCTCGCGAGGGGGGAGGGAGCGGTCCCTCTCGCGCGGCGTTGGGGGGAGGGGGAGGGGGGGGGGGCGGACGGCGTCCGAGAGGGGGGGCTTCCAAGAGGGGGCTTCGCGAATCATGGCCCGAGGCATGCGATAGCGCGGCAAGGGGGGGGGATGCCGAGGGCAGGGGACGCATTCAAACAAGAAGGGGCGCCATGACATCGGCGGAGATATCATGGCCCTCGCCATGACATCGACCCCCCGCAGTCATTCCCCCCCCCTCTTGGCCGCCCCCGAGAGGGAGGGAGGAGGGCGCCAGACGCCCGAAGGGAGGGACCCAATCAGGCGTCTCGATCATATCGAGGCGGAGAGTTTTCCTCGCTTTCGGCCTCTAGGGGCCCTTGCTGGGCCCTGGGGGCCGTCAACAAACGACTCGGGGGGAAAAGCCAGTCCTGGGGAAGCGGTCGAAAGGGCGGGGGCCCGGGATGTGGAACACATCGAGACGCCGGTGTCTCGGGAGGGAGAGGGATGAGGCAGGGAGGAGAGGGAGAAGGTAGCAGGCGACGACAGACTCCTCCAGAACGGGGTCGGGGTAATTCGATGGGGTCGGAGGACCGCGCCGCATCGTTGATACATCACAAGTGCATCGGACATGCATCGCAGATGTCGGCAATGCATCGGCTACGTGGGCGTGGAGAACATCGAGCGCCACATCGAGCCGCATCGCTCATGCATCGGCGATGCGGCGCGATCCTCCGACCCCACCTACTCGGACCCACTTTGGGAGGCCTAGAGTCGAGGGAGGGAGCAGGAGAGGAGGGAAAGAGGGAGGAGGGCGCGAGAGGGGGAGGAGGGAGGAGGAGCTGGGGCATCCGTCGGGCTTTCGCTGACGGAGGGGCGCGCACCTTCCCCGCACATGTTTGGGCCTGCGGTGGCAGATATTAGAGGCCGTGACGGGCCCCATTTGTGGCCACCTTCATGCAATCCTCGATCCCCCTCCCCCGTATCCACTGCCCCCTCTCCCGCTATCGAACGTCAAAATCTGGAGTCCCGGAAATATCGGGACGGCCGATTGATTGTCACACGTTTTGTCTATATATATATAGAGAGAGAGAGAGAGAGGCCGCTTTCGGGCCTCGGGGCCGTCAAAAACGGGTTCGTAATGCAAGTCCGGGGACCGAGACAGACAACAAAAAACGCAAGATGTCTGGAAGGTCCGAGGTTCGGAGCCATGTTCTGGCGCTGTCCGCGCTGGAGCCTCTGGGGCCGCGTCTCGTCGCCACGGTTGAGCTGCCCTCGGCAGTCCAGCCAGAACGCATCCTTGGACAGGCCAAGGGGCCGATGCTCGAGGTCGGAGAGGAGGAAGAGCAGGAAGAGGAGGAAGAGGAGGAGGAGGAGCAGGAGGAGGAGCAGGAGGAGGAGGAGCAGGAGGAGGAGGAGGGGGAGGAGCAGGAGGAGGAGGAGCAGGAGGAGGAGCAGGAGGAGGAGCAGGAGGAGGAGGAGGAGGAGGAGGCGGAGGTGGCGCAACTCGGCCGAAGAAGGGGGGACAGAGCGCAAAGGCCACGACCGAGAGCACAAGGACGACGTTCGAGGCCCGCCGCCGCGCGCGCGGGGGCCAGCCTCGGTGCCCATCGGCATCAGGGAATTCGGAGGAGGAAGAAGAAGAAGAGGAGGAGGAGGAGGAGGAGAAGGAGAAGGAAGAGGGCACGACAGGAGAGGAGGAAGAGGACGACCAGTGCAAATCCAAGACGTGTTCAACGATGTTGCAATATCGTCCTCCTGCAAGTCTCCTCTTCATAGGTCCCTACAAGAACTGATGTTCATTGACTGTCCCAACCTTGCCAGAACATCATGGCTGCGACTACAATCCGACGAATCCTTGAAATTGCTGTGAACTGTGAAAACGATGGTGCGCGGCGCTATGGCGAGAGCCACGTGTTGAAAAGGAATTATCCTCCATCCTTGGGACGGCTGCAAATTGATAAGACGAATGTGCGCGGCGCTTAAACGAGAGCCACATTTGGAGAAAACGGCCAACCCTCCATGTTAGAACTGTCGCAAACTTTTAAGACGAATGTTCGCGGCGCTAAGGCGAGATCCACATGTTGAAAATGAGCAGCCCTCAACCTTCAGGATCATAGAACTTGGTGCTTTAGTTCGGAAAATACATAGTGAGAACGCCTCAGGCGAACCCCCCGGCCTGTCCTACCCAGACACCTCTGGGGGTGCGACAGGGAGGATATGTTGAAAGGGAACAGGGATGAAGGAGGAAGAGGAGATGGAGCAGGAAGAAGAGGCGGAGGAGGAGGAGGATGAGGAGGATCGAACTTCGACGATCGGAGCTTGGGGGTGGCGGCGCTTCGCCCTTACGTAAAAGAAATATGCAAGGAGGACGAGGAGGGGGAGAAGGAGGACGAGGAGGAGGAGGAGGAGGAGGACGACGAGGAGGAGGAGGAGGAGGAGGAGGAGGAGGGTGGCTTCGAAGAACCTTTTCGTACCGTTCGGCCTCTGGCGGGCCCATTTCGGGCCTCGGGACACGATCACACATCGATCCGCGGTGGTGTGGACTGGCCAGGTGCCCACCCTGGGATGGATCCTGGAATGGACTTGGACGCCCGAATTATTCAGGATAGCTCGGGTCCGGGGTGACTCCGAGTTGGGCCTGACCAGGAATTACCCCTGACCACCCCCAGCCCCGATGACTCGGGATGGGACTTGGACGGGTAACTCTAACTTGGGCCCCCCGAGACACCCCCCTGACCACCCCCAATCCCGATGACTCGGAAATCTACTTGGACGCCCGAATTATCCGGGATACGTCTGGTCTGGGGTAAGAGTAACTCCGATTGGACCCTCAGGTGGATCCCGGCGGTGATCGGGCTTGCCTGCTGCGCAGACCTCGGCTCGCGCGACCAACTACCTTGAGGCCGCAATGGCGCAGTGGGAGCTGCTCCCCTCGCACGGGGCATAGGTCGGGAGGGACACGGGAGGGGCGTGCGTGCTTCGGGGGGAGCGGGATGCGCCGGGGGGAAGCCACGCTGGGCGCGGCCGCAGTTTCTGGACGCGCTCGCTGGGGCATCCTCTTCCTCCTACTCCTCCTCCTCCTCCTCCTCCTCCGCCTCCTCCGCCTCCTCCTCCTCCGCCTCCTCCGCCTCCTCCTCCTCCTCCGCCTCCTCCTCCTCCTCCTCCTGCTCCTGCTCCTCCCCCTCCTCCTCCTGCTCCTGCTCCTCCCCCTCCCCCTCCTCCTCCCCCTCCTCCCCCTGCTCCCCTGTCGACCCAGGACGTGCGCTTCTACGACCCTATCTACGAAGCGACGGTGGCTATCTGCTAGATGTACAGCAGTTTCCTGTGGGACCAGCGTGTCGAGCTTGGACGGCTTGAGTCTGCATGGAGAGCTTTGCAGGCCAAATGGGACGCAGGATCTTGCAGCTGGCTGGG